TGAACAAAATGGTCACCAAGTGTTACAAGGAAATCAAGAACTTGGCCGTGGCTAAAAAGGACTCATCATCAGAGACAGCTCCTCTTTTGAATCTGATGAAACAAGTTCAAGAAGCAAGTTTGAACGTGTTGGAGGCCACCTTATCTTTGATTTCTCCATCAAAGCAAGGGCAGTCTTTGGTGTCAAAGTTTCTGCAACAAAAGAAAACATCATCATCTCAAGAACTTCCATTGATTGAGAAAATGCAAGTTGAGTTGAAGTCATACAAGGAAGGAGACGTAGCCCAAATGAGAAAAGTTGTGAAAGCACTTGAAGAAATTGATTTCAGCATTCAAGAATTGGGAGAAATTCTAGACATTGTTTTTAGGCTTTTGGTCAAAACTAGAGTCTCCCTTCTCAACATTCTCAACCATTAGAGCAAAAATTTGATGCTCTAATACAATTTTGTGTACAAAAATGAGATCACAAATGTACAAATTAAAACGACAAATGTGAATACAATAGTTGAAAAAATTACCTTCTCTTACATGCTTAGTGTCCTCTATTTCTGTTCGTATTTTTCATTGGTTTTACGTTTTTCCAAATTTAATTTATGGCGGGTAATGTGAGTCAAAACATACCAGTTATGCTTAATCATAATATGCTTTTAACATCATTGTTGAAAGAAATAAAAAGTTGTTGGAAATTTCAAGGATAAACTGGCAATGTGATAGCAAAGAGATGCTTAACAAATAACAACTATGAAGAATTCCATAAGAAAAGTCTACCATTAGAAAAGAGAAGATGAAACTTTTTAATAGGAAAAACTCTCCACTCCTATTGTGCTTGCCAAGCATGCTACAGACTGACTGCAGCTTCTAATTTTTGAATTTGCAAGTTTGGTTGTATGGTAATTTCAATGGCTGCTAGAATTCACAAATCTTTCAGCAGCATTAAGCTTCAGTGGTGACGATGCATGGATTTGCATCAACGTCTCCGGGTTGTTGAATCGGCGGCCATGGCGGAGTCGAAACCCTAAAACCTACAATATAGAGCCTCGGGGTCTCCCGAGGGTAGACACTCCGATGCTTAAGTCAGTAAGAGTAGTTGTAATAGGGTATGAATTGTGGTGCGTAGAGCGTACCTTTAACCGTGAAGGGTTGATCCCTATTTATAGAGCTAGGTTAGGGAACCCTTTCTTGGTAAGAAAGTAATTAAGAACTGACCTAGAAACTTCCGAAGGTCAGTTGGACCTTTTACCGAACTTGGGCCAGCCTAGTCGCGGGCAGTGCTAATTTGGACTCGTCGGAAGCCACTTGCATTTACATTTTAATGTGAAACCATCAGTGAGAATATCAACATCATCTCATAGCAGCTGAATCCCGACATGAATTTCCCAAAGAAAATATAACTTCTCATTTCTCAATTAATACATATGGCAGCCAGTGAACAATTAACAACACCTCCTTAAAATTAGTTCACTTTTGTGTTTCTTGGTTCGCGTTTCTCAGTTACTTACCCTTGCTCTCAATGACCAAGCGGACATAAAGAACTTTTAGTTTGGCAGAGTGTGTTCAACTTACTCATCCAGATTAATTTACTTACCATTAATACAGGTCCAAGGATTAAAATCCAAGTCAAAAAATATGTTTCAGACTTATTCTTCAACCTCATTCGCATGATGACAAAGTTGAGGTAGTAAAATTTAAGCTGAAAAAAGTACCGTCGACTTACTCGTCGAGATTACTTTATCGATGACAAAGTCGACGGACTTAAATTTGAGTGAAACAAGTTTCGTGACTTTAACGTCAAAATCACTTTCTCGATAAAAACAAAGTCGACCAAGTGACATTTTAACTGAAAAAAGTATCGTCGACTTGCTCTCCGAGATTACTTTTTCGATTAATAAAAAGTCGACAAAGTGACATTTAACTAAAAAAATGTATTGACTAAAACGTCGAGATTACTTTCTCGATAAACAAAGTCGACGGAATGAAATTTAAGTTGAAAAAGTTTCACTAGCATGTTTCAAAAGGAAAGTCTGTCTTTTTCCTCAATGATGCAACTCAAATAATGAGATGAATTTACCACAACACTTCTAAATGTTGAGAATTTGAAAATCACTTCGGAATAATCCTTTCTAATGAATCACTTCTGGAGAAGTTTCTTTTAGCTAGATTTCCTGAATTCTCAATTTCAACGTCAAACAAGTAACTTGGGAGAGATCAATACAGGAGAGCTTCAAGTTAATCTCAAAATACATGCTGCCTTTTCAACCAAACACTCAGTATCGATCCATGTCCACTCCTTCCAAAACTTCAGTTTCAAAATTGCAGAAATTGAATATGTAATGACCCTTAAATCTGAATTTCTCAGGTTTTCCTGTTCTTAGAAACATCCATTTGAGCAGTTGAATCTGTTGTATACAAATCCTTCAAATTACTTTAGAGCTAATCTGTTGGTGTTTCCAGGACAAACTATATAGGCCTGAGCTACACCAAAGTCTACAGGTTCAACACACTTTCTTTCATGAATCAGCCACTCTTTTCTGCAGATCAGTGATGCTCAATAACAGGCGAAGTAGGCGTCGATACTGAGGTGTAATTAAGATGTTGCCTTTGTCCAAGGCTAGTCATATATAGGAGGCTTCCAGAACAATATCCAACTCATAATGTTTCCTCTCAATACATTAAAAATGGCCACACGCATTTCAGTGCTTCGATCGCTGCTTCCTAATTTTGAGACAAAAACAGGCATTGGAGCTGATTAACAAGAATAACACAGCTCAAATGAACCCAATTTTGAACCTTCACAATGCTATTATTAATTAATTGAGGCCAACCATCTGCTCCTGTATTAGGCAGACAAGAGCTTACTTCTAACACATAAACTATGGAGTCTCAATTCTCTCCGCATTCATCACAGTTTGGTATATGCATGTGGCCAGCCTAATCAAATTGCATGGAATTTATAAACGAAATGTAAATCTGAGTAACATTATTTAACCTAATAAAAATCTCACACGAACGGGTTGATATTCCTTTTGTTCACCATCTGCTAGACACATTTCAAGTCCAGCTTGATTTGATCAATGTGATTATCACATGGTTGTTTCCTGAGAGACAAACAGGCGAAGCGTTTTTCTTGGTTTTCCTGGTTCATCATACTAAGGCAATTAATTAATGCATGCTTCTGTTTCTTGATCGAATTATATTTTATTAACAACACCCAATGCATTACCACAAGTAACTTGATTGTCAAAATTTTTCCCGAGCGTGTGAAGATTCCTCTTGTTCCCCCCTCAGATTTGCTGGCCAAAATGATTCTGCTGACTTGTTTGCTTGGTATCATCCTGTGAGGAACGAATTCAAATCATTCAATCCACACCAAACTGCACGATCGCTTTTGATTTTCTGCTTTATTCTATTAGGTATTCAAGATCTCGATGATAAATGCATCCCGTTAGATCCAACGTCATTGAAACAGAAATGAGACAAAATATAGACATGAACAGCAATTACAGCAAGGAGAGGAGCGTGCGAGATTCCTTCTGTTTTCGACCAATCTTGTATATAAACGAGAAAGCCCTGAGTTCTCATCATTCAGTCACTCCCGAAGACTTGAATTAAACGAAAATTCAGATCCAAAAAGAAAAAGTTCAAAAGATAAAAAATGGCAAACACAAAATTCTCCAGCCATGCTCGTTCCACTAGCTGGACTTCATCATCGCTACATCCTCTTGTCGCAAATGCTGAGGAACATCTTCAGAGACTGAAGTCATCATCAGAAGCTGCTTCATCGTCACATGAGTCTACCTGTCGAAACCTGGATGGACTCAAGAACTTGTACAGCTCTCTGGATGATGTTCTTCAGCTCCCAAACGCTCAACAAATCCTCTCTGAAGAATCAATTCTGGAGGGATCATTGAGCATTTTGGATATCTGTGAAGAAATTAGAGAAATCTACTCACAGATGAAGGAAACCGTTCAGCAACTCGAGTCTTCTCTTAGAAGGAAAAGAAATGGCAATTTTACTAACGAAATTGCCACTTACACGAACTCCAAAAAACACTTGAACAAAAGAATCTCCAAATGTTACAGAGAGCTGAAGAAGGCAATGATGGCAAACGGCCCTTCTTGCCTGATTCAAGAAATCCAGCAAATTAGCCTTACAATCCTGGAATCGGCTGTATCATACATTTCTGGACCGAAGACAGGATCAAATGCAAAGGGATGGTCTTTGGTCTCGAAGTTAATCCAGCAAAAGGGATATTCATCATCCAAGGAAAGCAAATCGGAGATTGAGATGATTGAAGCTGAGTTGCATCTCTTGAAAGGGAAGAGCTCGGACAGTTTAAGCGCAGTTAAACAACTGGAGGCATTCAATTCCAGCATTCAAGAATCAGAGGAATTGCTGGAAAATGTTTTCAGACAACTCTTGAAATCCAGAGTTTCCTTCCTCAATGTTCTCAATCATTAACTCAGATGAGTTGAGAATCCAATTTTGTAGGACATTAGTCTTAGATGTAGCACAAAATTGTACAAAACATATACATAGTTACATACAAATGAATACAAATTGAAACTATTTCTCTAATCTTCCAGCTTCAAGTTCTTGTTGCTTTTCACTACCTATTTCTCCCCTTATTTTCTAGATGGTTCAAATTACAGACAATGAGGTCATATCCAATAACAACATAATATCTCTCATAAGTTCTAATAAACTTTCATATGTTGTAACTGAATTTTTGCGCAAGACTCTGTAGATTGAGACGTCAATATCGTTTCAGAGGGAAAGAAAAAATACCCCAAAAAATATTAAGTAAAAAATAGGTTGACCTTTCGAGGATTCTAAAGTTGGATCAAACTGAATGAAGAACGGTGATGTAACATCATGGTACTGTTACACACGTTTAGTCAAAGGACTAACTCAAACATGGAAACACTATTGCCAGCAGTACGGAGGAAATTGACATGTTGAAGACACTATGGTTCCTTTAATTTCGCTAATTTTCAGCTTCCAACGTATTTAAAACGTGATATTATGGATGAAGAGCTCAAAAGGGAAACATTGATCATATCATGTTATTTGCATATATACAAGATGGTTTTTCCCCCTTAAGTACATACATTTATCCAGAGGGAGAAGATTGGCTTTCCTAAATTAATAGAAAATCTAAAGAAATTAGCTAAAACCCCACAGGAGAAGAGAAGTTGAAAAAGATGACAATAACAGAAAAGTAAAAGAGTGGCCAAGAGACTTTGTTGGTTTTATGCAGCCAGGTGTAAGGTAATAAGGCAGCTAGTTACATATAGGAATTTTCTAACGAGCTATTTCAGTGTGCAAAGATGCATTGAGCTCCACTTGTTCAACCTCCCACCTTGCTCTATTGCCCCCCACTTCATCATCATCTTGCACAACCACATAATCCTAAACAAATTGACACATAACACGTAGTGTTAGACGGATATTTATTGCTCAAGCCTATTCGAAATATAACATCCTAATATACATCTAAGCTATTAACTTCATGCAATTAAGATTTCAAGTAACCAACTTGGATCGAAATGAATCCCTAATAATTTTAACAGTTAATTTTTGCAAAACTTTTGAAGTGGAATCTATTATACTATGAAATATTAGTACCTCAAGTTGTTGAAGGAGTTCCTTGGGGGTTGGAGCAGTGACTAGAATGTGACGCTGGGAAGGCTTGATGAAACCATCTTCAACTGCCTTGTCTATGAAGCTAAGAAGGGGGTCATAGTAGCCATCCACGTTTAGCAAACCTACCTATAATGAGTAAGCATCAAGTTTCATGTCTTGTCGGTCCAAAAATGGTTAAGAAAAGAAGACCATATGATGATGATGAATATGAATGCAGTAAGTAATCAATATGGTAGACAAATTTGAATGGTTAAAAAAAAAAAAAAGGTGAGAGTGAATGATTGAACAAACGTCCTACTTGGAGTTTTGGACTTGGTATAGTATGGGTGGGGACCTTACTGGCTTATTATGAATTCCCAGCTGAGCCCAACTGATAACTTCCAATAGCTCCTCCAATGTCCCATATCCACCTGTGTGAACAAAATCAACCTTATAATATATCCACATCTGACAGTTGATAATTATATGAATTATATGTATCTAAAAGCACTACCATTTTCATTTAGATTCAAAAGGAATGTAATACTACTTAGTAATGAAATGCTGTTTCTTTTTATGGCATTTCCATTTTAGTTTGGGATAATGTTTCTATACTTTACCGTGTGTCTTTTACTTTGTGAGTTCAAAAACCATAATCTAGTTATCATATATTATTTCCGTCTAAAAAAAAACGATTATCAAAAAAACAAAACAAAACTGGATTTATATGAAATTCATTTAATCAACCAGAGAGGAAATTAATCTGTCATTATGAAAAGATAAATAAAAGTTCCTTTGATAGTAAAAATGTCATCTTGATTACTTTAGTAGTATAGCAGGATAGGAGTATGGGAAGGACTATTGAGTGAAGGGAAGATAAATAATTGAGGAGAATGGTTGGGGGGATGTGTACGAAACCTGGTAGGGCAATGAAACAGTCAGAAAAACGGGCCATTTCAGCTTTCCTTTGATGCATGCTTCCTACTGCTCGTACCTCCCCTACTGTTTCCCCTGTTATCTGCCCCATAAGACAAAAAAAAACAGACCTTTCCATTCACCATTGGTGATGATAAATAAAGGATAAACAATAACTGACAAAAAATGCAGAAAGATTCATCTTTTCTTGTTATGATAGTTTACCTCTTTACACATGAGTGTCCTGGGGATTATTCTTCAGCCCACCACATAAATTGAACCCAGAAGAAGATGAAGAAAAAGTATGAATAAAATCAGTAGCAGTATTAATTTCAAGCACCAGAGCAATTCATGAGTCCACCATATATAGTAAATATAGTACCATACGTACCCCAAAACATGTCTTCCACCACTATGAACTTCTTGAGAAATGATTCCCATTAAGCCAACACTCCCTCCGCCATAAACCAAGTCCAGCTTTCTTGAAACCTGCCAATTATAAGAACTTCAATTTTGGCCACTAAAACAAACGACAAAAAAAAAAAAAGCTCAAAAGACCTCTGGGTTCTTTTATTTTCTCTTTTTTTTTTTAACCCCCCTAAAAAACATGTACAAGAATATGGTTCTCAAAGATAGCAACTTTGGTTGTGGAATTTTAATTAGTAGTACCAGTTCCCGTCCTAATTCAACAGCAGCATCTTTGAAGCAATTCCTCTTTCCGGGACTGCTTCCACAAAACACACATACCCTTTTGAATCTCGACTTTCTTCCTCCTACCTCCTGATCTTCCACCTCCATCCAACGTACTCGCAATTTTCTGTTAATTTTTTAAAACTTTTTTTTTTTGCCTTGGTTGGTGGGGTGTCTTTGAGATGTTTGTTGGTTTGACTAAATGATGATGATGATTAAGGGAAGAGGAAGAACTGAAATTCTATTTTTCTTCTCGTTTCCAAAAAAGCAGAGAGAAAGGGTGTTTGTAACTTTGTATATATATATAAATATGGTAATGCGATTCATTTCATCATCATATCCTAAAATTGGAAATATATATACCATGGAGGAGGGCGGATGGGACCAAAACAGAAAGAAAAAGGCCAAAACAGATTGGAGAATAAAAAGAGGAGGAAGAGGAATGATTGATTTGATTGGATGGATGAATAGTGGAAATCTATATTGCCACGTGGACTAATTGCTGTATTGATGCCACTTGCCTTTTCTTCTTACAATTTTTTTTTTTTCTTTTTTCTAGTTTTTCTTTTTTGTTAATTGTTTTTCTTCTTCTCTTCTCCAGCTAAATTGGGAGATGGGCCCCTATGAGGAGAAAAAGGAGAGTCTTCCCCAGCCGGCACTACAATTTTTGGTTACCAAAACTCTGGACATGTATGGTTTTTTATGCTCTGTTTTATTTTAGTCACATGTTTCAAAGGAGTGCACTTTGAACACTTTATTCCTATTGTGTATCTACACTACATATACGATAAGGTGTTCCTCACTTGGATTCTAAAGTGAACTGGAACGAGCAATGTGTCTTATATCTAAGAGTCATGATCTTAGATTACAAATTCATCTCAAAATATAATGGCTTAATTGGTGAGATAATTCAGTGTGTGAAAGAATATCAATTGTTGCAGTTCCCGGAAATGGTCACGGTCGCGGACAACTGGGCTCATTTCACAAGCCCATCAAACGTACGATGAGAGGTAGACCCACGGTGAAGATTCTGGCCTGATTTCCGGATAAGGGTCCATTTTATTCATGACCCAGAAAAAAAAAAAAAAAGAAATGGAAAAAGAAACAAAAACAACGAAATATAGCATTCAAACATGTGTACGATAATTTCTTGGAAGGTACGGATCATAATTCAAGATCTCATGTCGCTTGTATCATTGCAATATGTACATTGTTTTAAAACTCAGACAGTTGTAATTGTAGATCATTCAAGATTAGATTAACAAAAGAGCTATTTTTCTCAATTTCGAATAAAAGAATTCTAAAATTGTATATGTTTTTAAACATTTGATTATCTTATAAAAATAGAGACATATTGGTATTGTTATTCGCAAAATAATACCCCGAATATTTTTTTCAATAAAACAAATAAGAGAAAAACGAAACAAATGAAATGTAGATAACTAGTTTGTACATGAATTTTCAAATAAAATGTAGCTACGTACTTTGCAATTAAATTACCAATAACAATATAATAGGCTCGATCCCACAACGTTGGTCGTTTGCATGGAAACATTTGACACAAAATTAGCTGGCCTCTAACTTCCCGTGCATGTACGGCACACTATTGATCCAATCTCACCAACGCTACCACCATTTTGCATCTATTATTTAAAAGAAAATACTTGCTTAATTGCACTCCTTGCACTCCCTGCCTAAAACTTGCAGTCAATTGCAAAGTATCCTTTAAAATTCAATATAGAACCTCACTTCCTTTTAATTCGGAGTTACCCGTTTCACTTAATTAGTTTCGGTCATAATTTTTTTTTTTTTTTTAACACCGGGAACCCACTAGAGATGGGTAAATTCACGCCCACTGCAATAGCTTGCAAACCACAGTAGGAGATAAATCATCTTAGGTAAATCTGGGGTGACAAGCTCGGGTGCGAAATCAGGGGTTCATTAGTGGGTTAGCCATAACAAGCCCCTAAAGGTACCAATAGGCAAGGTCAGAGCCAAACCCTCACTTTTTATTGGAGTGGGGAATTGAATTCATGATCTCCTCTTAGAGCAAACGTGGTTTTATCACTGAACTAACTCCTCATTCGCATTTTTTTATTTGTTTTGTATGTAGGACTTTTTAGTGTATACCTTCTATACTTCAGTCAAAAACTACAAACTACAACTAGCACGATCCATAATATAAGGACCCAAAATAAGTAATTCCTCCGTCCCGAAATTATTGTCAAGTTTGGATTTTTATTTTTAGTTTAAATTGTACTAAAATTGAAATCTCAAATTGGATAATAATTTTGGGGTAAAGTGAGTATATTTACAATCAGACATTCAATGGTTCAAAGACGTAGTCACGTAGAGTCAAATAGTTTGGAGTCTAAGCACAAAAAAACAGAAACTTAAGAGGAGAAAATGCTAAGTTTAAAAGCTATCAGGAGGCATTTCGCAAAAGAAATAAAGTTTCAAGATCATTTTGTTTGCATTATCTCTAATCAAAAAAATAGGCTGGAAGTTTCTCCCGGACATGTGTTGATAATTCTAGTCACGGAACAAGACGAATCCGTACGAAAGGAAAAAAAAAAAACGGATCCTTCTTGTCACCTTCCTCAAGACAATTAACAAATTGAAATTATCATTCATCCGGCTAATATCCATCTGGCATTCCCACGCTCCAGACAAAACCCACCAATCCTTATAAATTCCTAAATGTGGGAAACTAACGTTTGACTTGAGAGACACATAATTAAACCATTTACAAAAAATACAAAAAAAAAAGGAGAGAAAAAGGCTAGAATGGCAGCAGGAGGGTTGAATTTCATTGCTCTCAGAAACATGCAGGATTCAGTGAACGACTTGCTTCACTCGCCGGGAATCAAAACCGCCACCGTCCACCGGGAGAAGAAGAAATTCGTGCACGAGATTTCAGAAGCATCCTTGAAAATGGTGGAAACGTGCGGGAATACGCGGGACGTTTTGTTGCTGGTGAAGGATCATCTACACGATCTTAAGTCCACGTTCCGACGGGTCAGCGTTGGCCCCGCCACCACGGACATGACGACGGCGGCCGCTGACGGTACCGGGAATAAGTTTTCCGGGTACACATCGGAAAGAAAGAAATTAAAGAAGGCAATGTTGAGGCGATTAAACTCGCTAAAAATGATGAAAAGCATCAACAATAACGGAAGTTCAACAACCAATGTTTCTTCCAGTCATGATCTTGTGGTTGTTATCAATGTTTTAAGGGAAGTGAGGATGGCCACCATGGCCATCGTGGAGTCACTAATGTCGCTCATGTCAATGCCGTTAAGCCCGGAAACCGTTAACCGGTCTCCGGCAAAGAAGAAGAAGTCCAGTAGAGGGTTCTTTGAATTATCCAAGTTCAGTCGGGTTAACAGCTTGAGCTATTGGGAGAATTGCGACAGAACCACACTCCAAGTGGCCAGTCAAAGACTGGCGGCGGTGGAGATTGACGTTGAAGACCTTGAGGAAGAGTTGGATTGTATTTTCAGGCGGTTGATTCAGACCAGAGTTTCACTTCTCAATATCCTCACTACCCATTAGCCTAGTCGCCGGTGGCCGTGGTGGCAGTCCCGGTCAAACGGACCGTTTAAACGGGTGGCCGGCGCGGTCCTCCCTGGTTTTTCAGTTTTGTCTTAGAGAATAGTAGTACTCAGTACTCACATTTTTTACCCAAGTGTATTAGTGGTTAACTGGGCTACCTATATTATTCATTTATTTGTTAATTGAAATTTCAGTATTCGGTTATTTCATCTCTTCTATGATTTCGCAATTTAACTTAGCTCTGCTATGCATCATGATCATCTGGATTACTGTACTACTGAGTTTTATCTGTCGTTGCCAAATGAAGAGCAATTAGCCTGTCTAAAAGAAGTAAGGAAACTAGCTTGCCGAAAATGCTGAAACAGGCAACATTTTTAACGTGATAATCAATGATTCTGACGAAAATACACTGAAGAAAAAGAAAAAGCTGAAGTTGCATTTTTATTCAGGATACATAAATCCAAATCTTAGGCCTAATGACTTCTACATCCTAGGTCTTCTATTGCTTGTGGTGCAGGTTCAAATGGTGCTTGGACTTTAATCTACGGCTGCCAATGGGGAAGTCGTGTTGAATTCCCGGAGTAACTTGGACACAAATTTTCCAGAATGGTTAATAGCAGTAATATAAGTTGAGAAAAATTCGGTTTGACGTTCACCCTGTTGCCTCCTAACATGCTATCGAGTATTGAAAAATTCGGATTGCATCGCTCCTGTCAATAACTAAATAAATTCATCTAATTTGTGGGGGCTTTTTTTCCATCAAGACCAGTGCAATACTAGTGCATCCGAATTGGTAAAACAGTTTAATACTACTCCCTCCGCCCAGTAGTAATTTTTTTTTTTATGCACTGGCACAATCTTACTGAAAAGAGATGCAAATAGCAGGGAAAAGTAATCACATTGCAGTTTCATTTTAAATGACAAGGTTAGAAGCTTTATTAGCATTAACCACCACAAACAAACAAGCACAAGAAAGTCATTCAATAAAATAAAACTCCTGCATTTGTGGATTCCAACTTCAGCAGATTACAATACAGTGCTTCTTCTCAAATTTTTGCAAGACCTGCAAATGTTAGAGCATGTCACAAACTAGAATATCGACAAACAAAACAAGAAGCCATAACCAATTAATCCCCTAGCTGACTTTTAGGGGGGAGGGGGGGGGGGAATCGAGGGGGACATTGCTGCATAACATATTTCAGGAGAAGTTAATGGTCAACCTTTTATCCTAAACTCACACCACCAACCAGTGTTTCTTATGATGAATCATTGTAATTTATCAATGGTTAGAAATAAAGTTTGCTGCTCTGTAGTTTATAGCTTTGTGGCGACCAAAAGCAGCGTACAGGACAATAGAAATAAGGGCAAACTTTTTCAAAGTAGACATTTATTCATTTATGAACCAAACATAAAATCTTTTGAAGCTCAACAACTTTATAAGGCTATATACTGGTAAGACTGCAGCAATAGACAAGTAAAAAACTGGGTTTCCGGAAAAATGCTTTTAGAGTATAGAACTATACCAGTTTCCAAAGTGCAGAGAACAATTCCTTAGCTAATGTCCATGTCCATGACTGCCAGAGTGATCACCATGACCATCCCAAGGGTGCCTCCAGCCCTTGAACCCAGATAAAATAAATGATTACAGGGTCCTATTTGACAAGCAATTCATCAGAAGAGATTGTACAGGGCACTGAATCTTACCAAAACAACGGGACCGTCCTGCTTAGCCCGGTACAGAATCCAAAACCTGAGATACCCAACAGAACATACTTCAAATTGTTTCTAAACTTTTGCAATGAAATCCCCCCCTCCCCCCTAAAAAAAAATAATAAAAACAAAAAAAAGGCAAAAAAAAGAACATACAGGGATGAAGAAAGAAGACATCGCAAAAAAGAGCCAATTCAAGAAAAAACAAAAATGATATGAATGAAGAATTATAATTATTTGCTAACTAAACAAAGTACTCTTTTGTTATCCAAAATTGGAATTCTTTCAGCCATAGGTGCCTGATGAATGACTAACAATTTAACAACGTCACAACTAACTCTTGTAGTCCCTACTTAATAAATTGGTTTATGGTTCAAAAGACTATTAAACAAGCATCATGGGGATTGGGGCAAGGTACTCTTCTAGTACTCAACGTATCTTGCATGCACATCACACACTACACGACTCTTTTAACACAGGAAAATTCAATCTATTTAAAATTTTTCGTCACCATGAATGGACCTGGTTTCAATCTTCTAAGGAATAATTTAATTACTGAAACAAAGTCAGCAGGAAAACTCCTCTTATACTACTGAACTTATCTTGCACTCACATCATCGTACAATACATATAGATTGCTTTTAACACAGGAAAATTCAATCTATTTCAAATTCTGAACACCATATTATCAATCTTCTCGAGAATAAACTAATTACTGAAATCAAATCAGCATCAAAGATATCAAAACCGAAATTCCGGCCAACAAGGAGACCACCAAACCCACCCAAGGGTGGATGAGAATCGTGAATCTTCCTAATCCGAATTCAAATACATTCCGTAAGTAAAACAAATTGAATTTTACATTAAAGGAGGGACAATTAACATTAGCATATTACTTGGATTGATTCAAAATGCACAGTCAAAAGTAATCGATTTGAGAAAAGCAGTAACTTACAAAAGGCTCAAAATGCAACCAAAAAACTTTGAAAAATCGATCAAAAAAAGTAACAAAACATCAGAACCTAATTATTAGGGTAATATAAGGTGGATAAGATTCAGATTTAACAGAGAGAAAAGAAGTCAATCGATCACAACACTCACCACATGACGGCGCACATGCCCTTTCCGGTGACCACATGCCACCGCTTCGGATGGTGGATGGTGATGCCTTTGAACGTGGTGCCATGTCCTCCTCCGCCCATTACGACTCTCTACGGCGACGAACGACGACGTATGAAATGGTATTTAGAAATGATAGTAAGAAGCGCTCAGCGGAGAATGGCCGTTTAACTAAACTGAAAATCTGATGCAAAATGGCCACAATCTAACGGGTCTTAAGAGGGAAGACCTTACTAATGGGCCGTATGGGTTGACAAAGCGGCCCACCAAAAGCATGAATGACTACGACCCAACAACATAGCAATTTTTTTTGTCTTAGTACTACCCGTTCAAATCAGCAACAAAAGATGACGCCGCAGGAGGATCCACAATGGCGATTGGATCACCGGCTTCACCGCCAATATAGGCGACTGCTCCGTTCTGGAATCCGAACTTTGGGGGGTTTTGTTTGGTCTGCAAATTGCTTGGGATTTGGGATTCAAGAAAGTCCAGACAGCACCCAAGCGGTAAAATCACTGGAAGACGCAGACCCGTTTGCAATCTCAGGCAATATCCGGCGACGCATCCAAAGCTTGCTCGACCGGCAATGGACGCTGCGAATTTCGTTTAATAAACGGAATGGAAATGGAGTTGCAGAACTTTCGGCCAAACTGGGCTTCTCGGTTCCACCAGGAATGCATATTTCGTGGGTACCTCACTAGTCTAGTTTTAAGTAAATTGTCTTTTGGAAGCCCATCTGAGACTCAAAAATTGGGCCTATAGTCCAAGTTTTAAGCTTCCGCTGTCTGCAAAAAAATAAAATAAAATAATAATTAATTAATTAATTTTCGTTGAAAGAAAATGATTACTCTTTTCAAGAGTCTTGATATGATTGCTCAGATTGAACTTTTATTATCAATTTGTACCTTCAAATTAGGGCTGGGAGTATAAGTTATAATAAACACGAAAATTTAAATAGGACAATATATTAGGAATCTCGTTTGTAAATGCATTTTAATCAAAAATTCCCAAAATATGCCCTCCATAAATGAATAACACTAATGAAATTTGTTTGTTAGAGTGGAATAAATTAAAGATGATTTAGTTATGATATACTATTGAGTTTTTAAATTTGTAATATTTTTAATAAAAACCTTAAAAGTGATTGTAAACTATATTTTTTCGTACTTATTTTATAACCTAAAGTATACTCCACCGTCCATAACGAAATAGAAAATATTACGGACACAGCATCACAATCACGTGCACCTAAGTAACTTTCACTTTCACGAACTACAAGTCAAATATATACATATTTTTTTTTGGAAAAGGAGTCAAATATATTGGGTTAGGCACGCACGGTTCTTTTGGTTACAATAAAAGATAAGAATTAATTAAAAAAAATTACATCTAAAACATCGTTACATTTTGATGATAAACTATTTCAATTATATTATAATTTTTTTTAGTACAAAGAAGGAAACTATAACCTGTAAAAATTAATTTAAATTTTTTCGGAGATAAGAAACCCGATAATATAGTACGCCTACCACATTTCGCTTATCAACCCAGTGCAATTCAACCAAATGAGTAGCAGCCAAAGAGGCCATAGTCTGTTGTAAAGTTGGACTATACGAAAAAATGCCTCACATTACCTCACACATGCATGGAACTAGTCCGTGACTCAATTATATTATAATTTAAGCCATGGTTGTCTAATACTTACAGGTAGATGACAACTTTATCAGTCCACCACAGAAGTTTGCCTCACAAAGTTCATTATTTGTGTAATTTATTCTACTTCCACCCCCTCTTATTTAAAAACTGTCGATGTAAGATTCGATCCAACTTCTTATTAATTTGGCGGGTGAGATTTTTTTCATTGACCTCAATCATTCTAACGCGAGACGAATATTAAAAAGTACTAGTCCCACCACCCACTCACCTGGATCGTACCAGCCTGATATTATCAGCAAATTTCCTAATAAAACCCAATAATAATTAAACCACCACCACAGATTCACAAAATCACCGGTGCTCAAAGTATACCGGCGGGAATGGATGAATCCGGTGATCAGCTGGCGATCGACCCAAAAAGTGGCTTCTGCAAATCAGACTCTACTTTCTACAGCAAGCGCCCGGGGGTCGCACTTCCCCGTAACCTTTCTCTGGACTTGACAACTTTCATTTCATCCCGTCCTCACAATGGTAAAGTCGCATTCATCGACGCCGCCACCGGCCACCAACTTACATTCTCCCAGTTCTGGCAAGCCGTTGACTCGGTCAGCGATTGTTTATACGAAATGGGAATCCGGAAAGGCCACGTGGTGCTCATCCTCTCCCCAAACTCCATTCTCTTTCCGGTAGTTTGCCAATCCGTTCTTTCCCTCGGGGCTATCATCACCACCACTAACCCCCTCAACACCGCCGGCGAAATATCCAAACAACTATCCGAATCCCGTCCCGTACTCGCCTTCACCGTCCCGGAGCTCCTCCCTAAGCTTGCCGAAGCCATCTCAGGTGATCTCCGTGTGGTCCTGATGGCCGGCGGCAATGTGGGAAATCCGGTTTCGAGTAAACCCAACTTGAGAATCGTTGGAGACCTGAAGAACATGATGAGGAAGGAACCCGGAGAGATTCGGGTCAGGAACCGGGTGAACCAAAACGACGTGGCGACGCTGCTGTACTCGTCGGGAACCACCGGGGTGAGTAAAGGCGTGGTTTCAACGCACGGGAACTTCATAGCCGCGATGCAAACGGTGTCGTATCGTTTCAAGACGGAAGAGATTCACATTGCGACAGTGCCGATGTTTCACATCTACGGCATGGCGGCTTTCGCGATGGGCTTCCTGGCGATTGGGTCCACCGTGGTGGTCCTGTCCAAATTCGACATGGACGAGATGCTTTGGGCCGTGGAGAAGTACAGGGCCACGTACTTGCCGCTGGTGCCGCCGATATTGGTCGGAATGATCAACAAGGCGGAGGAGATCAAGGCGAAATACGACGTCAGGAGCTTGCGGACGGTTTTATGCGGCGGGGCCCCCATCAGTAAGGACACGGTTGAGGGGTTCGCCGAGAAGTTTCCCGGCGTGACTATCATGCAAGGGTACGCGTTGACGGAGTCAAACGGCGCTGGCTCTTCCACGGACACTATGGAGGAGAGCCGGAGGTATGGCACGGCGGGGCTTCTGTCGCCGGGGATTGAAGCGAGGGTGGTTGACCCGGAAAGCGGGAAGGCACTTGGAGTGAATCAGACCGGCGAACTGTGGATCCGAGGACCCACCATTATGAAAGGTCAGTGCACAATTTTGCTTTGCATGGTGACAAATAGATTGATAACTGTTGTGTGCAGATATTATTTCACAGTTTTCAGTTTTCACTTGTATTCATTTTTCTTTGGGGTCGGATAAATTTTTATTATTATTTTTTTTTTTGGCGGAAAGTTTGTCCACATTTTGCACGTTAACAAATAAAATTTATTTATTTTTGTAATAAAATTCATTACCCAAAAAAAAAAAGAGAGAAACAAATAAAATTAGTTGGTTCTGATTGGCTTATGTCCTTGTTGTTTACAAATTTCTTTATGGGAGCTATAATCCAGTGTGAATTATGAAACAATACATGGAAGTTAGATACTAGTACATTACAATCGATCTTCCAGATTATAGACAAGTTTTGAGTGTCGTCAATTTAAGTTTGAAACCTTGAATCTCAAAGGCAAATTGGGATGATCAATTTATTCAAAATTCAACGACAGTAATATGTAAAGTCACTGTCACTGTAGTGTAACTATTTTACACAGTGATACGAGGATGATGGTTAAATGATATGGATGGATGAGATTGGTGCAGGTTATTTGGGGAATGAAGAAGCAACAGCATCAACTCTAACTTCAGAAGGATGGTTAAGAACAGGAGATTTGTGTTATATAGATGATGATGGTTTCCTTTTCATCGTCGACAGGCTTAAGGAACTCATCAAATACAAAGGCTATCAGGTCATATACAGCTAGATTATAAATCACGCTCCATTGCTCATCATTCCGAATTCTCATTAACACCTTTCATTCTAGTTTAACTTTTGCATTTACTAATTCACTACATGGACCGACACTAGGTAATTGGTGTTCATTTCATTCTTTTTGAGGATATTGAAAGAAAGCAAAGAAAAGTAAGAACAATTACTATACTATACCTCCATCCCCACCGGGGGAAGAAGAAAGTCAGATTTGGGAAACTAATTACTTGGAGATATTGATTCATTTTTTATTTTCTCCTACTAATTACCCCTGGGTTTATTTTTTATTTTTTTCCTGTGTAGGTTGCCCCAGCAGAACTCGAAGCCTTGCTAATTGGTCATCCAGAAATAGATGATGCCGCGGTAGTACCGTAAGTTTTCTTTCTTTATCTATTTTCATAGTTGGCAATAATGATAAAAGGTCAAATAGTTGGCCTAAAGTTTGCTCACAGTCCAAAAAAAACCCGATACTGGTTGCACAATACGATTTCTTAGGCTTAAAAATTTAGTCATAGCCAAGATTCATTGCTTCTTCTTCTTTTTGGTTCGGATTAATTTTCAATCGGAACATCCCTGTATTCTCTGTATAGGTTTCCCGATAAGGAGGTGGGACAGTTTCCAATGGCATATATTCTACGAGCCCAAAACAGTTCGATTTCAGCTTCTGCAGTGATGGACTATATAGCTAAGCAGGTGAATCTATTTTATTATGATTGGATTAATTTGGTGGCCAGCCATTGTTCAAATTGTCCTAGTTACTTACTGGAATTTGATTCAAATTAATTACTAATTTTTTAACACCGACTTCATTACAAAATTCTTTACGTGTGCGCTCTTAAACAAACAGGTGGCTCCTTACAAGAGGATACGACGGGTTGAGTTCATATCTTCCATTCCAAAAAATCCGTCAGGCAAAATCCTTAGGAAAGACCTTATCAAACTTGCCACCTCCCGGCTTTGAATACTTATTTCATTGATATCCATCAACAATATTCTTTCTTAATCTTTGTGGTTCGCAGCTCCCAAGTCGTGGTTTGATGATCAAATTGGAAGACGGCCCAGAAAGCAAAATCTGTATTAATTTCAGGCCATAGATACAATATTGTACTTTTTTTTTTTTTTTGCCCGAATATTTTGAGCTTAACCAACTTTATGAAATAAGAAGAAGAAAAGAAATAATTTCAAAAAAAAAAAAAAACGTGTACTCCCTCCATCTCATAATTATTGTCTAGTTTAGGTTTTTATTTTTAGTTCAAATTACACTAAATATAAAATCTCTAATTGGACAATAATTTAGGACAGAGGGAGTAAATCTTTTAGAAGTCCTCTGGTAGGATTCCGCTTGATTTTTTATTTTATTTTTTCTTTTTTATCACATCAAAGAGGCAAAATCGCCTAATGTCAAACATGTATATTACATAGTATGTTAGATGATGATGTTGCAGCCACGGTTTAGCACTTCAGCTATTGATTAATCATTGAGATTGGAGGCCAAGGCCTACTTTTTTCATCTGAACCTTCATTTGATGATTGCGGATATCATCAACGGGCCAAGGGGAGATGAGCATCACTTCGAAGAATGTGATTGTATTTGGAATCTATATGTATATGAAATCACCAAAAGTACCTAATTTATTTTCTTCCGCCAAAAAGTAACACCAATATTTAAAATCTTTGAAACTGAAAATCACAGATGATAGTGTGTTAGTCTTTTTCTCTTTGTTTTTTGGGGGGTCGCGAGCAGGTTTGTGCGTGGATAGCAGCGGCGGGTTGACATTTTCTACGTTCCAAACTAGTTTGTTTAATTTATATTTTCATTTATAATATAATATAAATAACAATAAAAATTTAAATTAGATAATAATTTGGCGGACAAAAACAGTAAAAATGTAGGGATGATTGATTTAGTTAGCAAACCGCGCATCGGCACATGTGACATTATGAAAACTATTATGGTACGGTTCAGATATAATGCTCAAACACTTGTAGTGTTTGGGCACAGTTAAATAATTCTTTTTCGTCGTGTTATATTTATCATTCATGTCAGTGTTATACCTAACGAGAATATAAGAGCTGTGTTTGGATGCTCATTTGTCTGGGGAAGACAAAAAAAGATTTTTGCATGTGAGAAAGTTTTTAGGATTAATTATTTCTGAATTTCTTGAGTATATGTGACGTGTGTAATAGTTAAAATCTGTTTAAAGTTAGAGTACCTCTGATCATTGATATATTTTGGGGGGGAAGATGTTGCTATCTCGTCACTTTAATTGAATTTGGAGAATGACAGTACCAGAATAGAAACATCTCAAAGCCAGTATGAAATAAATAGTTGGTAAAATTAGACTGTCAAAATGAACTAAACGCGGCGGAGCACCACATACTGTAGATGATTTTTCGACGGTGCAATGCAAGCTACCTATGTACTAGTACAAAAATAATAATTGTCCAGTGTCCACTGGCTAGCTAACTGTCCATTTCATCTGATGCGCTTAAAGAGCACGTTTAAGTGATGTGGCTGTTGTCCTAATTTCATTGATATTATTTGCAAACTGCTTGACCAGACTTACTAGTATATGTTAATAACGTCTTTCTCTCTTTTTCTTTTATTCTGGAACAAAAAAAAGCCCATAAATTAAATAAAATACTATCTCTTTCCCCAAAAAATTTAATACTTCATCCGGTCTTTTTCATAAAATATTTTAATTTGTCCTAAATTTTATTTATTGTGCTTTTCAATTGAAAATAGAACTGTAAAAATGTGATTTCATATTGATTGTGTTTTTCCAACTATTATAAAATATTTTTAAAAATTTTATTTTAAATTGGGGTAATGCGATGAATGAAATTTTTTTTAAAAAAAAAACACAAAATGTCTTATTATAAGTGTCGAAGGGATAATACACATTGAGTTATACTCCCTCCATCCCATAATTATTGTCCAATTTGAGTTTTCATTTCTAGTTCAAATTGTGTTAAAAGTGAAATTTCAAACTGGACAATAATTTTGGGACAGAGGAAGTACTAATTTTAATTCAAATTTAAATTTTTATACATGTTTAATATTTTTCGGTTCTCATTTTACGAACCATACATGTATGTTTCTGGGTCCGGATCACCTCTCCAAAAAATCCATGTCCAGTCCCTGTCCAAAGTAAAACTACGTAGTTTTAAGTACAATATCATCTCCTATAATCAAACAAATTTTCCCTTTCATTTTTTAAACTCTTATCTATCGGTTCAAGCCCATCAGACTTACTTTCTCTCAATATTAGATAATTGCTTAGTTTTCTCATTATCTCTACCTTCACAAAGTTGATTAGGAGGTTGCCTAATGCCTTGGGTACAAAGCTCATATGTTCATGATATAAACCATTTTTAATGCAATATATTTATAGTTTCCAAAAAAAATAAAATAACAATACAGGATTAGTTAAATAAAAGAAATAGATTAGGGCATTAGGCCTACCCACCCCCAACGCCAGAGAAGGGGGAGATGAGTGGCAAAGTAAACGAGTCTGATATTATACCATTACGTATGATCTATGCTAATCACAAACATTAATTAAGCCATTGAATTCGTTAGGAAAATAAACAAATCATACGTGCTTTCTCCAGTTTGGTGTGTAGCGCCTATTAATTTTTCACCTTCTATATCTTATGAAATTTTCGCATGGGGCGCTTCTTATAGTTGCAAGAACTATTTATGAGATATCTCATAGATCTAAATAAAATTCTTTCTGGTTGAATGAATTTTTTTTCAGTGGCTCTTCTAAGGTTTACTTCTGCTCTTTCTGTCCTATACTTGTTTTTACTTGTTCTTTTAAAGTAAAACTAAGAATTCGAATTAGACAATAATTTTAGAACAGAAAATATAAGATATTCACTCGTTGATTCAAAATAAAATGGAGAAATCTCATGAGCACTTCATGTTAATGATGAACCACGCATGAAAGGGCACATAAGGATGAGAGGTTGGATCGAATCACCTTAATTTTTACGCACAGGGTTCAAAGCAAAATGTGTAGGGGTGGGGGAGACAAAAGAAGCCACGGATGGGGTGGGAATACGATAATGCAAGAGGAATTGCTTTGATATCACTGTAGAATTTGGCCGAGAAGAAATATTAGCCCCAATCATATATCTTCTGCGCATCCATCTACTGTATTCAATAGGTTCTTAGATGAGGATTTACGATAAAAATCAATTCCTCAACCAACAAAACTATTCCTGAATGCACTATCATACCTTGATGTCTTATTATGACAGTTAAATAATGAAACCAGCTATTATTTCAAACCATTCAAAACAAATACTATAGCTCTTCCGCTTGCCATAAGTATACTTAATGTTGCGTTATACAACAATGAACAAACATGACAGTAATTTTGAGATATAAGGAGTACACTTTTTCAAAAAATAACTTATACACCAATTAATATTTTACCATCGTTTCGTTATCATATATAAGTAACTCGGATGGCACCAAAACTTAATATGAGCAAATTTAGGTGCTGCATAATAGAGCCCAATTATAGCTGGAACCGGCCGACAAACTTTAACCGCCTTCGGCTATGGCGGAGCTGCTTAGTAACTGTACAAGTGACGATCATCGTCATCGCCGAACAACCGATGACATTGATACACGAAGTGGCTTCTGTCAATCCAACTCAACCTTCTACAGCAAACGTAAGCCCTTCTCTTTACCCCCAAACCAAGCTCTTGATGTCACCACGTTCATTTCCTCCCACCGCCATCGACACCAAAACAACGGCGTCGCCTTCATTGATGCTTCTACCGGGCGGAGACTCAGCTTCACTCAAGTCTGGAATGCCGTGGAGTCCGTCGCCACGTGTCTCTCTATGGACATGGGAATCCGGAAAGGCCACGTCGTCCTCATCCTCTCCCCAAACTCCATCTTCTTCCCCGTCGTTTGTCTCTCCGTAATGTCCCTTGGCGCCGTCATCACCACCGCCAACCCGCTTAACACCGCCGGAGAATTAGCCAGACAAATAACCGATTCCGAAACTGCCCTCATATTCACAATCCCGGAACTCCTTCACAAACTCCCTGCCCAACACGTTGACCGCGGTAATATCCCCATAGTTCTTATGCAAAATACCGACATTGCCCATGGGGATGCCCCTAGAATATTGATGAGACATGTCCATGCAAATACTTTGGAAGAGATGATGAAGATGGAGCAACGTCACGTTAGAGTCAAAGAGCGCGTGATGCAAGACGACCCGGCAGCCTTACTGTATTCTTCCGGCACCACCGGTGTAAGCAAAGGCGTGGTCTCTTCCCACCGCAACCTCCTTGCCCTTATTGGTATGTATGTACTCTTTGTATTTTAAAATTATTGTTCAGTTTTGATTTTCATTTTAGTACAACTTGTATTATAAGTGAATTTTCGAACTGAGCAATAATTTCGAAACGTATGAAATACTGAATATGTTTGAATTCCGCAAATAATTACTGGAAAAACAAAATTTACAAGAATATTTCATTAATTCTCGTAGGTAATGTGGAGGGTCGTGTGAGAATGGAAGAAGAAAACCAAATCTACATGGCCACGATCCCAATGTTTCACACTTTTGGTTTCACAAAATACGTTCTAATGCTTCTGGCAAACGGATTCACCGCTGTTGTTTTGTCGAGGTACGGAATGGACGAAGTTCTGTCCGCCGTCGAGAAATTCAACATCACGTATTTACCGTTAGTGCCGCCTATCCTAGTCGACATGGTCAACGGCTCCGACTTGATCAAGAAGAAATATGACTTGAAGAGTTTAAGGTATGTATTATCCGGCGGAGCGCCGCTGAGCAAGGAGGTGATGCGGGCGTTCCGGGACAAGTACCCTCAGGTTAATGTTTTGGTAGGATATGCTTTGACCGAGTCAAACGGAGCTGGGGCTTCCACTGACTCGCTGGAGGAATGCCGGCGGTTTGGATCGGTGGGGATGTTGACGCCCAACACGGAGGCGAAGATTGTGGATACTCAGACCGGGGAGGGGCTGCCGGTAAACTGGCCCGGTGAGCTTTGGCTTCGTGGACCGTCCATTATGCAAGGTACGTAATTAAAGTCAAACTTACTTTGTCACCTTTTATTACATTTTTACCTTATTAATTAATTTGTAATTGTGATTTAAATATAATTACAGCCTGAATCACGATACACAATTTGTCAATATAGTTGGCCTCAGGTATATTAAATCTTGTTTTAGGGTAAATAGTGTTTTTTGTCTTTAGGTTTCGTGTCCACATCGTACCAAAACCACATAAAATAAATAACACTTAACACGAATTACTTACACGTTAAAATGAACATGCGTAAATTCATGCATTTGGGATCACATCGTATAACCGAATACTCATCATTCTAAAAAGCATTTCCCTATCTTATTTTAATTGTTCATTATATTACAATATTTTAATTTAATAAATTAGATTATTAAAAAAATGAGAACGTTATATTGACTTTGAATTACTCCTGGCATTCCTTTACAAATAATTTACTATCTATTTTTTTAATCTCCCTTGCAATGAAAATAGAAAAGGAAAAAAAAAAAGAAAAAAAAATTCAATTTTGTAACTTCTTTGCGGGAAAAGCAAATAAATCTTGTCATTGACCTTATGAAATAATACTTTATGCGTACAACGTGAATCATAAGTTTTTCTCATTGTCTGCCATCCTGGTTATTAATAATTATTTTTCAAGTAATAGATAGATTTACAAACGAAGCTAGAGATCAAGTAATCGCTCTGAAAGTGACGGAAATTTGGAAGACGAAAGAGACCCAAGTGATAGAGGATTAAAGTACACCTAACTTTCATGGAGGGACTATTTATAAGAAAAAAGAAGGAAAAAGTCATCCTAGCTAGTACTTAAATATAAAGCTTAGTAATATGATTTGGATTAATTAATTTTGCAGGGTATTATAAGAAGAAAGAAGCAACAGAAAGTACATTGACTTCAGATGGATGGTTGAAAACTGGAGATCTATGCTATATAGACGATGATGGGTTCCTTTTCATCGTTGATAGATTGAAAGAGCTTATCAAGTACAAGGGTTTCCAGGTGTGAATTGGTTCGGCTTCAGTTTTCTCCGACCTATATATACATTATTAATAATGTGTTTAATATATTTCTTCCGTCTCATTAAAATAATTCGCTAGTTTAATTTGTTGAATTAAATTAAAAATGATACTCACTCCGTCTCATAATTATTGTCCAGTTTGAATTTTCATTTTTAGTTCAAATTCTACTAAAAATGCAATCTCAAACTGGACATTAATTTTGAGACAGAGGAAGTACAACATAATAAACTGGGGGGGTAGGGAGTAATAATTTTATTAACAATGTGTTTAAAAACCGATATCACTCAAGTGATCTGGGAGAATTATGAGTGAGGACTGAAAGCCATTCAAATGATCCAGGTTGCTCCAGCAGAATTGGAGGCCTTGTTAACTACCATTCCGGGAATCACCGAGGCTGCTGTTATACCGTAAGTCCTTTTTACCAGATCACATTATCTGATTTCCCTTTGCATCGGGGGGAAGAAGAAGAAGAGGAAGAAGAAGAAATTTTGAGAATACAAATTCTAACTTTGTTTTAAAAAAATCAGGGTTCCTGATGACAAAGTTGGCCAATATCCAATGGCATTTATAGTGCGAAAGAGTGGAAGTTCCGTCACGGAAACACAAGTGATGGATTTCGTCGCTAAACAGGTATAATTATTTGCATTTTGGCTCCACTATTTCTATTTTTAGTTTGGGAGGGAAAAAAGAAAAATTCAATCGAATAGTTCCTTGCTTTTTACTAATATTTTAATTTGGGGAAGAAGACAAGTTTTCTTTCTTCTCTCCTATATAGTAAGAAGAAAAAAATTAAATAATCTAATTATCATGTCGTAGCATAAAAGATTACTAGTATTAGCTGAAATGATTTCACTTTTATAGTAATTTGTTGTTTGTGTTAATTAGGTAGCTCCTTACAAAAAAATCCGGCGGGTGGCTTTTGTGGCATCGGTACCGAAGACTCCCTCCGGCAAGATTCTTAGGAGGGAACTTATTAAACTCGCTTCTTCAAATTTATGAACCTTAAGTAATTTACTCAAGTTTCCCCTCTATTTATGAGAAAATTACAGTACTTTAGTTTTTTTTTTTTCTTAAATTGGAAAATGCATGTATGGTAGGAGTAATTATGATATTCGTAATAAAAATGTTGTTGAATCTAGAAAATACATTAGTTCTTTTTTTCTTAAAGAAAAAGAAAAATATTTTTTCCTTTGGAAAATGATAAAGTAAGGTCGTATTAGGCCCAGAACTGAAACCTTAAAAGCCCGTATAAATTTTATGAAGGTCCCATTAGACTTGGACTGAAGACCCATATATAATTGACAACTCACAAAATGTTTAACAACCCATTATATCAAATCAATGACTTTTTCTTCTCTTATTCGTTAAACTGTAAACTGTTACACACACTGTGCTTGTTTGACCAACATTTTGTTTTAATTTTTGTTTTGTTTTTTTATTTAGATTTGAGATGTAATTTAAAATGTGATTTGAGATAAAATTTAAAAATTTATTTATGTGATATTTTAAATAAACTAATAATATTTTTAGACTACCACCGGATCACCTCACCGCGCCGAATCGCCTACCGCCGTCGGACGACCGTCAACCGGCCTCCGGCGGGTGGCCCGGCGGCGACGGCAGGCGGTCCGATGCGACGGGTGGTGGTGGAGGTGGTCCGGTGGTGATAGATGAAAATTGTGTAAATATAATTTTTGAAATATTTTTTAAAAGATAAATTAAAAAGTTGTTTGGATAGTATTGAGATTTTTGTTTGAGAGATGTTTTAAGAGGTAAAATGAGACAAAAATGCAAAATGAAAGTTGGCCAAACAAGCCCATAATTTCATCACACATGTTTTCTCTTTGGCTTGACATAAAATTGAGTTAGGTGAGATTAAATTAAGAGCTTTCGTTTTCTTTTCTTTTTTTTTTTTTGTTTATTTTTGCCGATGTTTGAACCTTGCATCCTTCAACATTGTAGTTACGATCTTCTAACGCTCTGACCCGTTTAGGCTTATATTAATAACCAATAAATTTCTTTTTGAGGTCTCGTAACAAAAAATTATTACATTTTTTTGAAGTTATAATATAACGTTAACCGCATAATTGTGCCAAAAGGAAAAAAATAGAAGAGACTATTATATAATTGCAAAACACTGAAATTAGTTTATTTGAGTGGCATGCCAAGTTTACCGACTTTCACACTTCCGACACCTTTCTCCAAATCAAAGGAGAGGAAAATGCTAAGATGTAGAAAAAGTTGTGGCAGCTATTTAAAGTCGAGAAATGTGGAATGCTTTTGGAGATTGGAAAAAAAAAAAGAAAAAAGAAAATAGCCGTACGTACTTAGAATTTTCAAGAAAATAATTGGTAGCACGATGATTCAAAAATTCAATTCCATTTGTGTTTCTTCTTTCCATGTAAATATATTAGCCAAGATGATCGATTATATATATTCATCCACAATTAACAGTTAAGTATAAATGAAAATCAAATTAATTTTATATGCTCTTTTTGTGCCGAAATAAAAAAAAAATCTAATCGGCGTTATAAGGACATGGAGAGACGGATGGATGGATCTTTAAAAAAGGGAAAAATATAACTTGAGAATTAGGTGACTACTTACTGTTTCACTAAAACACAAAAAAAAAAAAATTAAAAAAATAGAAACTAGTAGTTTTGAAAACTCGGAATAGATTATACCACTACAAGAAAAAATAGGTATTATGATACTTTAAAGTGCCTCGTCACCTAGTCTATCATGACACGCATTGCTTGTTAGTGTGGTATATACCAGTGTCACTATAACTTAATTAGCTATTAAGATATTTACTAGTGTCTTAATAAACATTTATTGGGACACTTAGAAATGTCATAATAGATATGTATTTCTATAAAAAAAATTAATGTTTATTAATTTACTGGTAGTAAACAAATGAAATATTATTCCATTAAATTCTTATTGCTATATCCAATTAAAACTGAATAAAATCTTACATAAATTTGTATACCCAAAAGTCCTATATCTAAAAAATCCGATTACAAAACATCTAACTTGAAGCTCTAAGTGGCTCTAAACTACAGTAAATCTGATTACAGAAGCTCGAATCACATAAATTATAGCCAGCTATTCTTGTATTTAAGGAATTCCAACATTGAAGGACTGGGGCAACAACAATCTCTTATGCATCTCTTTTTGATAATCCCAAATTAGTCAAAAGCCTTCCAAATCCAAGAAATCGCCAATGGATTTTCGTTTCTTTATGCTCTTCCATACTTCACAAATCTGATTAAGAAGAGAAAATAAGGATACTTATTAAAAGCAACTCACAATTCTCCTTCCAATGCAATCTACAAAAAAATGCACCCAACATTCCACCAAATCTCAAATTTGAAGAATACCTTGAATACTTCCAAAAATTAGGAGTTATGACAGACATTAGATTAAATAAACAAAATTTAAAAAAAATTAAAATTGGGAAATTTAGGAGAGAACCTTAGGTACTGAATGTGAGTTTTGACAAATTTAGCATCAATGTCGATAGCAACCTCAAAATCAACTAGAACAAAGATTCAATAATAAAGTCATTTAGAGAAAATATTAATAAGACACTGATTTTTTTTTTTTCAACCTAGAACAATTGATTAGAACAACTTATAATATGCAATTTTATTTGATAATCTCAATTTTCCCGCAATCTTTATGAATCCGAGAAACCAATTCCATATTTTCTTTGAAATATTTGAGTTTCAAATAAGTGAAACTCTTTGTCTCTTTGCATTTGTTTGTGGAAGATATCAAAAAGTTGGAGAATATTTTATGGAGAAAGAGTTTTTTTTTTGAGAGAGAATAGAGTTTATAAAGCTTAAATTAAGTTGGAGATTTTTTATTTTTTATTTTTTATTTTATGGAGAAAGAGATAGGAAGTGGTTGTTGAGAGTTTGATCAAGTGAAGGATTATGGGTGGGTGGAGATTAATCACTAAAAGTTCGGGATTGAGGAGTTATTCGGGCTTTTTTTTTTCGTGCTTACTGCTTATCTCTTAAAAAAAATTCAGGGTTATTCTTTTTTATGTGTTTTACCTTTTTTTAATTTAAATTTATTTTTTACCCTATTAGTGGGTTTTTCTTTTTTTACAAATACCTTCTTAAATGGGTCATTAAAGGTTTAATCTATGTATAAAAACTTAAAATGCCTTAATTGAGTATCCATTACCACACTTTACTAATACTGTCATAATATCTTTTCCTAATATGACACTTTCCTAATAATGCCTTAATATCTTTGTCGTTATAGGCATTTTTTCTTGTAGTGTACGTACTATTCCCAACAGCCTGATGAAAGGGAAACCAAAAATTAAATAAATAAATGAAAATTTGAGATGTTGATTAAGGATTAAACTTTAAAGTACATCTTTGTAATAAAAATTTCCATTCAAATCACCTACTTTTGCTTTCTAATGACACTATAGGGAAAGTAGGCAACTTGCCAAGATTAATTACTCTAAATGGGAGCCATTGGAGTCTAACCAGGCAGGCCTGCATTATGACTAGCTAGCTGCTGCTACTAATTAACCTCAATATGGTGGGGAAAATGTTAGCTTTTTCTTAATTAGTGATCTTACTAGTTTACATTTTAGTGTAGAGTCAGATTGCACACACACACACACACACACATCAAATCGCTGGCATCTTTCACTTACATGTACTCTTTACATATATTCTATAACAATGGTGATATTCAAATAAAAACAATAATTTTGAGACAAAAGAAAAATTAATTATTTTCCATTTGTTAATACTAACTAGTTTTAGTACATTCTATCCGGTGTCCAATAAAAGAAATGCTAGGTTCATCTAGTACTGTAAACACTAAGGACATGCATGCACATCACTTCCTAGTTATCCAAAATCGGTGGTTAGTTTTAAGCCATTGAGCTTTAGACCAATGATAAGAACCAAATAAGATTAACAAGACATTGGAAAACACTAAATAAAACCGTGATACTATAACTTAGGGAATGATCAATATAATTATGAGACACACTCCCATCATCTCACCCTAAAAGTCTTGTTTATCAAATTATTTTAGGACAACAAAAACAAAATCCCATTTCTCAACCAAAAGTCCAGTCTATCGAATTATGGTAGGACAACAAAAACAAAATTTTATTTTGAAACGAAAAGTATAATTCAACTAGACATCATTGCATTACATGAGTGAGGAAAATCCAACTTTGGTGTACAAATCACCAAAATCCTTGCATGCGAAGATAGGAAACTTCGGGTTGGAATATAGAAAGAAACCATTTGATGAAAAGGAGAGAGGATGAAAAAGCTGAAAACAATGGCGCACTTAGAGAAAGTTGATGGCCCTAAACCAAATACGTATATACTACAAACAAAATTCCTCAAATATTTATTTGATTATTCCAACGCAGCTATGCTTCATAGATGCTTCAGATCAGGTACATATCATTCATGATCAATCTGTTTTTTAAATTTCTGATACTTCATTTCTAACGTCATCGCATTGCATCACTTAGTACGTAAGACCATTAGTGTAAGTAGGAATTAGCTTAATTTAATGTATCAAGTTGTCCATATATAATATATATTCTACAATTCCAGTTAGTTTGATCTCATCTAAATCATTGAAGGTGGATGTTAGTATTGCCATCTTCCAGGAATCAAGATAGGGAAAATGATCCCAAAAAAATAATTTGCAATTGGATATTTCTTTTAATCTCATCTCATGTACGGCTGAATATTGATTAGTGTTTTTTTTTTAAGATTATCTGCTCAAAAACTTTATGAGAAGAACGAAGAGAAGAACGGAAAAGCGGCTTAATCTCTTGCCGTTGTTTTTGATATTAGGGTAAGTTATATACAGTAAACTACGTATCAATCAATCCCTAGAATTACGGTATACAAAACCCTAACTAAGGTAAAATACAACAATTACAAAGATAACACACATATTTACTATATATACATCGTAATACCCCCCCTCAAGTTGGAGCATGCAGGTTCCGAATGCCCAACTTGGAAAGAAAATACTCAAACTGGGGTTTACCCAGAGCCTTGGTGAAAATGTCCGCCAACTGAACATGAGTAGAGACATAACTCGGAAGAATGGTACCCTTTAAGACTTCATCTCGTAAAAAATGACAGTCAACCTCGATATGTTTCGTGCGTTCATGAAAGACCGGGTTCGCGGCAATATGTAAAGCAGCCTGACTATCACAGTATAGCCGAATAGGATGAGAATGTGCAACACCAAGAAAATGCAATAAACCCTTCAGCCACTTCAACTCACAAACAGTAGCAGCCATAGAGCG